GCTCGCTCGTCTATGCCAAGAAATTTGGAAGACAGCTACCTGGCCAACCAACTGGAAAAGATCCATCTTTGAAGAAAGAAAGGTGATCCAACAGAATTTGGAAATTATCGACCAATATCGTTAATATCACACACAAGTAAAATCTTGCTGAAGATCATTCAAAAGCAGGTGCAGCAGTACATCAACAGGGAACTGCCAGAAATTCAAGCCAGATTCAGAAGAGGATGTGGAACAAGGAATATCATTGCTGATGTCAGGTGGATCCTGGCTGAAAGCAAAGAATACCAGAAACATGTTCACCTGTGTTTTATTGACTGTACAAGGGCATTCAGCTGTGTGGATCATAACAAATTATGGTTAACATCGACAAGAATAAGAATTCCAGAACACTTAATTGTGCTCATATGGAAACTGTACGTAGCCCAAGAGGTAGTCGTTCGAACAGAACAAGGGGATACTGCGTGGTTTAAAGTCAGGAAAGGTGTGCGAAAAAAGAAGAAGACCCTCAATGAGATGTATTGACACCGTGGCTGCCACGATGGGCTCAGGCATAACAACGACTGTGAGGATGGCGCGCGACCAGGCAGAGTTTCGTTCTGTGGTGCACAGGGTTGCTATGAGTCAGAACCGACTCGACGGAACCTAACAACAACAACAACGATACAATGCTAGAATTTCGGGAAAATGTTCGTGAGCGTGTTAGTAGATTAGCATGTTGATTAGAATGTTAAAATAATTTTAACAGCATATTTGTAGTTTGTAACTACATTTTTTTTTAATTATCAGGCTATTAGAAATCTGGTTACAGCATTTGTTAGATTAAATTGTAAAATTGTTTGCTAAAATGTTAAAATTTTAGTTAAAGTTCTAGCATGTTGGAATGTTTGTGAAGTTTGACTGTTGGAATGGTGATTAGACTCAGAATCTGAGAGGACTATAATCTCAGGGTTGCAAAGACTTTCAAGGTGTCTTACATTAATCAAGGGTGTGAATCCACGTTGTGAGACAGAGGTGTCCGCGATGGTGATGGTGGTGATGACGGTGTTGGTGAGGGCAATGGTGCTGCTGTTGGTGGTGGTGATGCTGGTGGTGATGGTGGTGGTGGTGGTGGTGGTTGTGATGGTGGTGATGGTGATGGTGGTGGTGGTGATGATGGCTGTGTTGGTGGTATGGTGGTGATGATGGTGATGGTGATGGTGGTGATGATGGTGGTGGTGGTGGTGATGTGGTGATGATGGTGGTGGTGATAGCGGTGACGTTATTGTTGGTGATGGTGATGATGGTTGTGATGGTGGTGATGGTGATGGTGGTGGTGGTGATGATGGCTGTGTTGGTGGTATGGTGGTGATGATGGTGATGGTGGTGGTGGTGATGATGTTGGTGGTGGTGGTGATGTGGTGATGATGGTGGTGGTGATAGCGGTGTGATGATGATGGTTATGATGTTGGCAGTGGTGGTGATGGTGGTGTCCGTGATGATGTGGTGGTGATGGTAATCATGCTGGCAGTGGTGGTGATGTGGTGATGATGTTGGCAGTGGTGATGATGATGGTGGTGACATTGGCAGTGGTGGTGATAGTGGTGTTGGTGATGATGATGTTGGTCGTG